GGCGTCCTCCCCACGGATGGCGCCAACTGTCGGTGCGAAAAGTGACCAACACATAAATATTTGTAGTTTTGCCATACGTTGTGATCGGATGTGTCCTAGCACTCAATGACACAGGGTTTATACTGGTTCAGGCAACGTGCCCTACGTCCAGTTTCAGTCGGTCGGTGACTTTATTCCTGAGCCTAGGTGCTCGAAGTTTGCTGTGGGGTTACAAACGAGTGGGAATAAGATGGGGGTGTTAGAGGTCCAGTCGGACTTTGGACTGAAGGGCCAAAAGTGATGGGAGCTCCTACGTGCGCTAAGTATTGGAACGTATGCTCTGTGTAGCTTTAGAGTTCTAGAGCCGTGGAGCTGTTCGAGTGCTCAGAATGTCTAAAGCTAGCAGAGAGAGAGCCAGAATGACCCTCCTCCATTGGGAGAGAGCGCATCCCCTTTTATAGGTGAAGGGGGTGGCCTTACAGAGAGAGAGAGAGAGAGAGAGAGTGTTCCCTAGTCTTGTTGCCCACGTTGTCGGGTACAAGATAGTTTGTCGGCGCCCACAATACCGTTGACGCCCAGATGCATGTGGCAGGCTTCATCGTGTTCTTCTGGTATGGCGAATGTCGGCGTCTACCATACTGTAGGACAAATGTCGGCACCTACAGCACTGTTCGTGTTCTGACATGTCTGGAAGGCTACAAAGTACCCTTCTGGCATAGCCTAACAGTACTGTCCTGCAGGTGTGCAGGGTTCGGTCCACGGTATTGCGGTTGACTTGAGCGCCTTACCTTATCTGCTCCGCCTAATTTCTTGGGTCCTCACCGAGCGGGCGTCCCCGGCCGGTCGTTCCCAGTCAGCTCTGACCACGCCGGTCGGAGAAGAGTAGTAAGCAGAGGTTTGGTGTATTCTCGGTCGGAGAAGTGGGTCAGAGCCGAAAGCGAGCGTCGTCCCTTCATTGGCCAAGAAATCAGGCCAATGAACCGTCCCTTTAAATGCATGAATACTATCACCAACATAAACCGTCCCTTCAGTCAAAAGCGAGCGTCGTCCCTTTAAGGAGTTGCTACAAAATTTTAAAACCCCTGATCCAACATAAACCGTCCATATAACTTGTATAAATGCATGAATATGATCACCAACATAGGTTTAGATGTTTAAACTAACAAATTGCACGAGGTTTGGTGAATCTATATTTTCTGCAGGGTTTATCTAGAAAACCATCAAGGAGGACCTACTTGTCAGATTTAATCGTGCTTATCCACAGCAAAACCAACTCCAGAAGACTCTAGAAGACACTAGAAGATGAACCAAGGCGGTAGAGGGCAGGAGGCTGCCAGGCCCCACCTACAGGCCGCCTAGCCCCCTGGGTCCACCTCTCAACCTCTCCTTCAAATGTCGGTGCTCCATCACCTCCTAGGTTCAATCTACGCCGTTGCTTTAAGTCGGTTTGATCCGAGGACTCAGGATTGATGGTTCCCCTATATATATCAGCCCCTACCACCCCCTGGCATAATCCTCCTCCATAATCATCTATCATCGTCAAGAAAAGAACCTCATAGCTCCACAAATATTTAGGGCATAGCTAGTTAAGTTAGATCTAGAGGGAGGCAAGCTTCGCTTGGATTCCTGATTTTGTCAAGAGCGTGGCTTGGTATAGCCTTCTATATCCTCTCTTGTATCATTCATATTTCATATGTTTGCTACATTTGTTATGACATTATTCTTTATATTATTCATGTTCTTAGTTATCGTGTTCATCATTTACTTTGATTCTATGCTCAGTATAGCTAGATTATCTTTATGTTCAAGCATAAGTTCTTATAGCGCTCGCTCTAAAGTACACGGGGTGAGTGGTCGACATTGTGTAAGCGTGGTGCTTATATGTTGTTTATCTACGGATGCACCCTATATTCCGGGCTATGTGGCAGATCGCGAGTGTGACACTCTCGTTGAGTCCTTTGTAGTCCACTCCCCGAATACAGCTGAAGAAGAATCTAGTTGCGAAGGAAGTCAGGCTCTGTTCTAGATCTTCCTTAGTAATATCCCTTATGTGTAGATATAAAGTTGATCTTAGCCATGATTATTAAGTATAATTGCACTAATCATAGTATACTTTGACTTGTAATTAAGAATGACTTAGGAATTATTTCTCTATTGTATCTACTTAACCATGCTAGTGCCATCTAAAGGAGTATTTTGAGTGTTCAATTATCATTTATCATTCATATCACATTTATCTCTTGATTTTACCCCTGTTGTGAGTAGAAGATTGGTTATGGTTTATCTCTCCATCACATGTATAAGTTATCAATATATTCCCTTTGTCCGTCCTTCCCTGAGGTAAAAATATAAATAACGATACCTGAATACTCCCGGGTGAAGTGCTACAATGGTATATTATCTTTGCGCTTGCAGACCCTTTCATTTACATATATTCTTCTAAGTAAGAAATGCCAACAAGCATTTCTGGCAATGATAACAAGTAGCATATTAATCAAAACCAACAGTGAGCTCGTGTGATGGATCGATCTCGTCCACAGGCAGGTGTTGTTCTTCCTCCCCTCCTCCGCAGGCATGCGCGTGCTCCTTCCTCATCCGCGACGGTGACGGAGCCCTCACCTGCGACCCCATCCGCGACCGGTGACCGGCGCTCCTCCTCTTCTTTCTTATGCGCAGCGAGCCGCTCATCCCACCTGGGTCGCCCCCGTCCGTGAAAATTTTGGGGACAGGGGTCGTCCCACATCTCATGGAATATTCGCACAAGGGACATCCTCGCCCCTGCTCGCCCCTCAACCAAACACTGCTCGTCCTAGGTCCGTTCCGTCCCATCCCACCTCATCCCTCTAACTAAACGCTACCTTAGTCGCTCATGATGACATGGAACACTTGGTCAACAACAACTTTGCGGCTATGCTTGTCAGTTGTACCATGTCACAATGAGTGAGTGACATGTCTTAGAACACACTTGACTATAATGTCCACCAACACGTTCCCCTATCCAACCATACTAGCAGATGGCGTCAAGACATTGCTTTCCAAGAAAAAATGAGAAGCACACGACAAGAAGTTCAGTAACAAGCAAAGGTTCATAAGCCTATCTCGCAATCCATGCGATGATGAAAGGAGTGTGAAGAGGTTGCTTTGGATTGGGATTGTAGTACTTTAATAGTTAAGGGACCTAGATGTGCAATTTTATAATTTGGGACCTATATGTAAGAATCTCATGATAGTTTAGGGACCACCCATGTAATAATTATAAGCTATGGATCCATAGCTGGTTTTACCTTGGAGCGCCACGTGGCTGCCGCACTACGCCTAGGGCCCCTCTCCTTCTTCCTCTTCGGTGCATCTGCCGGGAATAAGGAGAGGGGACCCATCCTTTTTCCGCAGTTTCATCTCTAGTTGTTTAGGGTTTAGTCCAAATAAATCTTCCGGCGAAATCAGATGATTTTCGGTCGGGACGAGATCGCCGTTGCAAGCGTTGATTTCACCGGTAGGCAGTCAATTTGTGGCCTTTATCTCCAAGAGGAGGTGTGCTTCTGGGTGCTCCCAACGAGAACAGCTACTCCGGGTCATCGATGTCTTCGCCGATGGTCGCAAAGAAGACATCAAGGTTTGGAGGTAATGTATTCACATCCTGTGTTATACCTGACGATGCAACTGCCGATATTAATTCTTTCATCGATTCAAATGCATTTTGGATTGGTTCTGAAGCGTTGGATCTTACGGCATATCCAATATTTTGAAGTTGATCGTTAGATTCAGCGTAAGGACGGTACTTTGGCTCTGGCTTTCAAGGAAGGTATTGGGAAAGAAGATAATGAAAGAATCTAGATAGAATATTATATATTTTTTATTTCAGATTTTTTATGTGCAATTTGAAAATATACTGTACCGAGTTTTAATATAATCCCCTTCTCCTCATGTGTGGGGTGTGTGGGGCGGGGGATCAGTCAGCGGGAAATGACATGACTCTCCTTTCTCTTGAACTCGACCGGTGCCGTCGCTGTACAATGAAGAAATTCACACCGGCATATATACAGTATAATATATTAAGACCATCTAATAATTAATCTTGCGAAAAGGAGTTAGCAGCAGTGCAAAAGGAGAAAGAGACCCGGCCGGCCGGTGGAAAGATTTACCGGATCGATCACACTCACGTAGCCAAAAGGCAAGTAGCAGCTAAGCAAGGCAACCGACTCCACTCCACCTTAATTCCAAAATTTCCAATCCTGTCATATGAGATGAGGCCATCATCATAGCTAGCCTCGCCGGAACGGTGGTGCCGCGGTGGTGGTAACCCGTCCGTGACCGATCCATTCCGTTCTCTCTCAGACTATCACTGCTGCATCTGCATCTGCATCTGCATCTGCATCTGCATCCATGATGGATCCATCGTCATCCCTCGTGCTGCTGCTGCTGCTGGCTCTAGCAGGTAGCAGCGCGTGTAGTGCAGGCGGCGCTTCACCGAGTGGCCACCGGCCCTAGCTATATAAGACGCAGCAAAGATTGCCCTCCAAATCCAAACACCTACCCATCTCCATCCTACACTCCAACGGCTGCCTAGCTAGCTAGCAACCATGGCGCCAACAAGCAGGCCACACCACGCATGCACTTGAGCTGACACCTGAGAGATGGGCCGACGCCGACCGATCGAGAGCCACTGCTTGCCTGCCTGTTGTATGGTACGCGTACATGTTCCTTCGTCCACTGCACCGGCCGATCCCTCGCGTCGTCGTCGTCGTTCGTGACTAGCCTAGCCACCTAGCTAGCTAGCTTACAGCCCCGTCACTGTCACTGCCTATACTAGCTTCTCGGTTCCCTTCCCATCGAGTAAGAACAAGGTCGCCGTCGCCGTCGCTCCAGGCAACCCATCCGTCCATCCCGCACGGTTGCACCGTCGCGCTCGCACCATTATCTATCACAGCTAGCACTGTCTGTCGGTCCTCCACCTCCTCCTCCTTCGGAGCCAAGCCAAGCCAAGCAAGCGAGCGAGCAGGCCCGCCGTCCGCCGATCGGCCATGAGCGTCAAGCAGACACCGTCCTCATCCACGGCGGCCGCCTTCTACGCGACGCTGGCGCGCGGCCTCGACGACCTGGACCGGGCGCTGGCGGCGTCCTCGTCCTCGTCGGCGTTCCTGTCGCTTCCCACGCTCCGGGCCGCGCTGGCGCTGCTTCATGCCGCGCACGCGGGCCTGGCGCGCCTCGTCGCGTCGCTCCACCTCCCGGGGGGCGCGGCCTGGCTGGACGAATACATGGACGAGGCGTCCAGGCTCTGCGACGCGTGCCGCGCGCTGCGGCTCGGCGCCGCCGCCGTCGAGGGCTACGCCGGAAGCGCCGCCCAGCTCGCCTCGCTCCTCATGCAGGCGCCCTCGAGCCCCCACCTCTCGAGACAGGTAAGTAGTGATATTCTTCTTCCTCTTCTTCTCCCGAGCAACGACGGAGCAAGTTGAAGTAATAGCATCCAACGCTGGCATGGCATGGTGCTATGGCAGGTGTCGCGTGCGATCAGCGTGTGCAGGCGCGAGGCCATGGCGCTCAAGGAGGAGAACCGCGCGCTGGTGGAGACGCGCGCGGAGGCGCTGGCGCTGTGCCTCAGCGAGGGCGTCCCCGCTGACGCCAAGCTGGGCGGTTTCAACGGCTTCCGCGGCGTGCTGTGCGCCACCCGGATGCTCACCTCCTTCCTGCTCACGCTTCTCTCGTGGGGCGTGCTCCACTACTGGCCCGCCCCGAACGCGGGCGCCGCGGGGGACTGCGCCGCCTACTTCGGCGCCGCGTTCGCGTCGGCGCTGTCCCGCGCGCAGCAGCGCGCCGCGGCGGAGGCCGGTAGGTCCGTGGCCGCGCCCGCGCCCGGCGCCGCCGCCGGGGTGATGATGCACGAGTTCCGGCGCGCGCGGGCGGCGGTGGAGGAGGCCAAGGACGCCGTCGAGCGCGGCGGCGACGTGGCGGCGGCCGCGGCGGAGGTCGGCCTGCGCGCGGGCGCGCTCCGGGCCGCGTGCGAGGACGTGCTGGCGCTCATTGACGACCTGTTCGACGAGGTGGTGGAGGCCAAGAAGAAGCTGCTGGACCTCTGCAGCGGCGGCGGCAACTGAACCGACTGACCAGCGCACACGAATGAGCTGCTTCTCCGTTCGCGTTGCAATGGCGAGAGGCCATGGTTCTTTACGTACTCCTTGCGTTCGTCCTTCCTTCCTCGACTGTTTCTCCTTGCTTCTTCCCTCTAGATCGATCGATCTCTCTCGTGACAGTCCTCTACTCGGGCATGATGTCTTATTCATAAATGCACTAAATGCACTGGCACAACCGAGGGGCTGTTTTGATCCGCCGACTAAAATTTAGCGTGAACGTGTCGCGTAACGTGTTCGAATATTAATAAAAAAATAAATTATAGAATTTATCATTACTCCACAATTTATTAAGCTTAATTAATCCGTCATTAGCATATATTTACTATAGCACTACATTATTAAATCATGGACTAATTAGTCTTAAAAGATTCGTCTTTCAAATTAGACGCAAGCTGCGTAAATAGTTTCGTAATTAGTCTATATTTAATACTCCATGTATGTGTCCATCGACGTGTCCAACATCCGATGGGAGAACGATTAAAGTTTAGGAGGAGAAACCAAACACCTCCGAATCTGAATGCAATTGCAACCAAAGAAAAAGTTGGGAAACAGTGTTGTGGTAGAAGTCAGAAGATTACTCCTAGGCAAACGGGAACTGCTACTAACTGATAATCCTACTCCTAGGCTGTGATGAAGAGATTAAGGTTAGCTTTTGCTTGCATATTGACATGCCATGAAATGCTAAACAAATAGTGACCTGTGATGTGCATGACAACGAGATCACAAGTTCACATATCACAGCCATGTAGTGTAGGGACCGATGAGTCTAGGACAACCCACCCCCCCCTTTGCACAGACTGCCTACTCACCAGCACTGTACCTTGTTTCACCGAGACGAGAGCAAGGGCAAACACAACAGGCAAAGTCAAACCTCTGTATGTTTTCATACCGTTTATCAGATCGGAGGAAACAACTGCCATGCTGGAAATGAAACTTTTCGACAGCTAGCTAGCAGCAGCAGGTAGCTAGAGAGGGAGATCACTCCAAGTCTAGAGCACTTTGATTCGAACTCTAGTCCATGGTAGTAGAGCAGGGACCTCCGCTCCCTGATCTGTTTTGTTGCACGGCAGAATCCCAACTGAAAGTGTGCGCCTGTGTGGACTGTGGAGCACCTGCAAGTGCAAGCTCTTTTTTTTTTTTTTTTTTTTGCCAACCTTGGGGCAACTGCTGCTACTGGGCGGCCAGGACAGGTACTCCACTCGCGGTAGGAACTGGAACTGAGCAGCTGCTGTAGCCAGTAGCAGTAGAGTACAGTACCTTCACAGGGACAGGGGTAAGGCTGCCATGGAAGATCTCTGCTTCTCTCTTCTCTCCCATCCATCCCATGACTGCCAGTCCATCCATCCATCCATCACGAGCCCATAGCTTGATCTGGACTGACACTTTCTATCTGATACTCTGTGATCTCCCTCGGGTCAGTCGTCCCGTACAAAGTTGACCACCAAATCCCCAAGAGAAGAGAGAAGAAACTTGGCAGGTGCTAAAGTGTAAAAGCAGTGGCCAGTGGCCACAAGTGGACAAAGCTGCAAGGAATTCTTCTAGTACTCTCACTCTTTCATTGACCATGTGAGAGCCTGACCAGAGTTGAACTGCCTTACCCTTCTAGTAGTACTGTACCTCGGTTCTGGTTCAGGCAAAGCATACACAGGCTGTGCAATGCGGTTGGAGTCTTGGAGAGGGCATATGGCCATTCTCAGGGCCAGGAGCCTCCATTCAGGCGAGGCAGCAAGCCAGCAAGGTACCTCATGAGCTGTCCATGACCCAAGGAGATGCAAGAGGAAAAGGAGGACGCTGCATCTGCACTGATGGCCTTCATGGTAGGATTGGTCGATTTGGGGTCACTCACCAGTCAGTCAGTAGTCCGTGATGGAGACTTTAGCAGCCGGAGAAGACCTTAAAATGCATAATTATCACATGACACACCATTCTGTCAACAAAAGGTACCTCGTTTTCCTTGTTCCGCGTAATTCTCATCTCGAGAGGATTGGGCTGCATATTTGTTATCTCTCAGAGAAAGGACCGAGTTATATGAAGTTTTAGGGTGGGTAACTGTTACCTCTGAGCTGTGGTTGAGGAAGAAGAGGTTGGTCAGGCAGTCAGGCTGCTTGATTTCTAGGCTGATGTTGCAGTTAGGATTTGCTGCTGCAGTGAATAACCAGAAAAAAGTTAGCATCCGGAAGATTGAGTCCTCAGTACTGCAGGAAAAGCAATCCCTATGGGCGGGCAAGCCGACAAGATTTGGTAGCTGATAGTCAACAATGAGAGTGCATATTGATTATTGACTCTAACCTTTCAGTGGCGATTACAGGACGCATGTAATATGGAACAGCACAGCTGCAGCTGACAGTTCAGGCGTGTCCGAAGTGCCAAATAGGGAAACATACAGTATGCACGATACTCGTGAGAGTGTCCACCGTGCATACTGTATGTTTTCATATTCATCCTGCAGTTTCTAAAATAGTGAACCCCAGCATACCACATGCTACACTTTGTTATGTACCCAATAATAAAGTAATAAATAAACAGCTCAATGTTACTTGAGCATGTCACAGGGTAGACATGTGGTTGGGAATTGTCTTCTCCTTGGCTACAATACAATGCAACAGAATGAAGACAGCGAGTAAAACACTTACAATCACAAGTCAAGATAAATTTCCAGGCACACCCAAATGATATTCACCGCAAGGAAAACATTCCCGGTTAGGAGCAGACTTGCAGAAATATGGAATATGACAGCACAAGTATGTGCAAACATTCATCAAGTGTCTTAGATATTGCAGTCTGGATTATGATCATGTAAGAATGTGCAAACATATACAGCATCTTGGGAGAGAAACAGAAAAATATAATTCTCTTTATGTCTGACGTGTTTACAGAAACACCAGCTCAATTTTACAAGCATTCAATCTCAGTTTAGCAAACCATGGTACACATATTAGCAACACAGGAAGTGCTACTCTGATTCACATCATCATTGGGACTTCTAGGTAACATTACAAGCAAAGTACAAACAACCTCCTCACAAGTAACACATTAGTACATTTATTGTCCAGCAACCACCCAAAAAGAGAGCTCTGAAGCAGTAATATCTTCAACATCTATTTCAAGAGTAAGGTAGCCATTTGCCTAGTGTATATGACGACAGTATTCAGTTCCCTCATAGTGCTCATATGTATATATGCGAGTCTCCCTGATCAAACGAAACATAACAAAGGTCAAAACAAAAGCATTTGTTCGCACATTCATATGGCATAAACAGCAGAAGCATTAAGCTAAGACAATAAATAACTGTCTGGTACTGTAAAGTGTAAACATGCAAGAACAGGAATACAACATCCCAGTGATACCTAGGCCATGTTTAGCTCCACCAAAATCCAAACTTTGGCACTATGAAAAAGAAGATTCCCCGCCACATCAAACTTGCGGTACATGCATAGAGTACTAAATGTTGATAAAATAAAAAAACTAATTGCACAGTTTGGTTATACTTTGCGAGACGAACGTTTTGAGCCTAATTAGTCAACGATTGAACAATTACTACCAAATACAAACGAAATGCTACAGTGCGCTACAGGAATGAACAGTAAATCGGGCGGCGCCAAGTTCGGCGAACTAAACGCGGCCCTAACGGCATAGAAATGATTCAAGATTATTACCTTTATCTCATTGATACTGGATCACCTCGATCAGAGTATTTTAATCACTGGTTAAATTGTATATGATCAATCAAGTGAATTTGCAGCGTAGAGTAGAGTGACCCATGTATGCTAAATTGCTAATAACGATGAGATCAACTGCACCATCAGTCTAGTGTGATCAATCACCACATATTGACCAACCTCAATAGCCCTTCCAAATTTGTCCTCACCACTCCACACACATCACATCTGTGTACTTCAGAACATAAACAGAGCATAGTAGCTTGAATGGTAACAACATAAGAGTGACAATTGAAGGCCGGGCCTGGTTCTAGACAGGAATTACTGTAGTTCAGAAGGAAGCATACAGTATAAAGTCCTCCCTTTCCTGGTCCCTACCTCCCTGGAATTGAAGGTATCCTAATTATACTAATTACAGGCAAGTTGCCAAAACATGCAGCGCTAAACCCTGAAGCTCTAATCGGTGCGGAGTGCAGGAACCTCTGCAGACGGGTCGATACGTCCCAACAGTTGGAACATCGAAGCGATCACACCACGATGAATCCAATCCAAACCCCCTAATCGCGCCGGCGGCTGCAGCAATTCGGCATCCTCCGTAGTTCGAACCAAGGGAGCGTGTGACACGGAAGAAGTTAATCTACAGGAGGCGGTAGGATCGGCACCTGCGAGTGGAGAGTCCAGGACCCTAGGCGTAGGCTGCGGGGCGATGGTCGACGTGGGGCTCGTCGGGGAAGGAGTTGCAGCAGTAGCAGCCGCAAAAGCAGCGGCCCCAACGGCGGAAGCAGCGGCAGTAGCACCACCGCGCCCGCGCCGCGCCCTCCCCGACGCCGACGCGCCACTCGAGTAGTCCATCGGAATCCAGAGAGAGAGAGGAGAGGTGTAGTCGGGCTGGAAAAGAATAACGGAACAGAGAGAAGTCAGAAGAGCAGAACGGGATAGACATAGACTGCTGACATCTTGCTTTGGAGACAACTAGAAATGGCCCCGGGAGCATTGATCTTTATAAAATTTACTCTCTAATAAATAAAGTCATTTAAGTATAAATCGTTTTCTATATATTTATACGTCGTACTCTACAGAGCTATATTCTCATTCTTTAATTTTGATGTAGCTAGAAATCTAGAACAGGGTGTGTCTGTATTTTAAGATTCAATTAAAGAGGTCATTGCCTCATTGGTGAGTTTTTTTCCCAAAATTTCTTTTCCAATATAAATTAAGGATATAAAGAACCTATTGGAGTTGCTTTTATTTTGTTTTGGTTAGAGTAATTCTAAGATAAGCTTTCTTCCTAATTTATAGGAATATTGATTTTGGTGAAAAATATCATCCAACATCATCTTTTATTGGATCACAATCTCTTTAGTTAGATGCCAAATATAGACATTCTTTGTTCTAGATTTCTCGCTAGCAAAAATAGAAAAACAATAATGCTCTCTAGAGTACACAAGATACATAAAAGCTATTGGAGGGTACACAAATATAGAAAACAACTTTTACTCAGATGGCTTTCCAAATAATAATTTAGTTAGAGAGTAAATTTTAGAAAGACTCTTGAAGATGCTCTTAGCACGATAAAATCATTCAAGTTTTGTATTTGTTTTACAAACATTAGGTGTTGAAGGAGTATTGGCGACAAGTAGACTCCATGTATCAGCATGTTATTTATATATTATATCTTCCCACCAATCGTTTAATTTCAATGCCATCACAAAAAAAAAAAAACACCAATCGTGTCGCTCCTCTCTCTCCGACTCCGTTGTCGCCTCCACGCAGTTCGACCCGTCGGCGACGCCGGCCCGTGCCTCTTCCTCCTTGGCTCCTTGCCAGCGCGGCTAGGTTCTGCGCCCTCAATCTCGGCCAGCACGCTCACCAGTGCAGCTCGTCCGTTTGCTAACCGGCATGGCTCGCTGATGTGCCTCTTCCTCTTCACAGGCCATCGACCTCTCGTACAGGCTATCCCCAGTTTTTGTATTGGCACACAGCACATTGAACAGATTGATAAAGTTGGTTCACATTCCATGCTTGTCTTCTGTAAAGAAAATTGAAGGTTATTATTCACTCATCCAAAGAAGATGGCAAAAAAGACTGTATGCTTACCAATGCCAAATCCAATACCTGGTATTAAATTATCATAACCAAAAGGTGACAACTTGCTCATATGAATTTAGGGTGTCAGTAAGTTTTCTTCTAGAGGAGCGCCTACCTGCAGAATTCAGAAGAGCACTTCTTTAAACTTCTTTGAGAGAGAAGAAAAAAAGATGACCTTAAGTAAAGTTGTTACAAAGCCAAGAGGTAAAAGGAAATGGGATTACAGAAGTAACCATCACCTGAGCATCAATTTATTTTCGTGAAGTCAATACCAAGAAGCAGATTTGACGTTGTGGGGCCAGCTTTTCTAAGTGCAGTAGTGACCTTCACAAATCAAAATGAATAAAAATTATACAGCAGCATATAACAAAACCTTCAGAAAAAAAAAAAAGAGAAGAGGGAGAAAAAAGGAAGGCAACAATTGAAGCCATTTACATGTAAAAAATCCTCAAAATGCTCATTGTTTAAACAAAACACTATCCATGATGTGGTATTAGGAAAAGTATTATGGATAGAGAAAGTTTATCACATTCTCTCTCATGTCTCACCCTCCAAATACATGGTTGTAACAGCCATGTGTCATGATCATCCTTTCTAGTCGCTGTTTTCAGAATGATGTCCATAACTATGCCATACCCAATAGTCAGTAGCACTGTCACCAGAAGTCATTGCAGGAGCAAACCCCACCACGGAACAAGTGGAAGCGATGGCGGTCACGCACAATGATCTCACGTTGGTAGAGCTTGGACACAAGTTTGGCATGGACATGGCAGTCGCAGCACACTCGAAGATTCTTGACAATTCGAATAGGCATGTCATGGGGAATGTTTAGAATACCAAATGCTAATGCAAGCCTCTCACTGTGGTAGGACAAGGTATTTCCCTTATCTTCCTCGTCGTCCATGTCCATTAGCACTTGGCTGGTATCCTTGACATAGCCAATCAGTTCTAATCTCTGCTCCATATCTTCCAATAATGCATAGATCAGCCTTGTTTGGGGGTGTCTTGTATCACCTGACCTGAACTCATGGACCAAACCATTCCACTCTATAAAGCTCAAACCTGTCTCCTTCTTGGCTCCCCTCTCTTCCATCATCTTCCGAAGAGCTTTTGCATCTTCCCATAAACCACTGACTGCATATAGATTGAACAGAACAACATAACGTCCACCATCATCTGGCTCTAGCTCAATAAGTTTCTTTCCTACACGTTCACCCACACCAACATTATTGTGCAACAGGCATGATGACATTAGAGCCCCCCACTGTGATGCCTGTGGCTCCATCGGCATGTCCAGTAACACAGCCTCAGCTTCTTCCAGGAGCCCTGCACGTCCAAGGAGATCAGCCAAGCACCCATAGTGCTCCCTCCGTGGCTCAATGCCATGGTCACGCATGGACCTGAAAACATCCTTCCCTTCATCCACACGACCTGTGTGGGTGCACGCACACAAGACAACAACAAACGTTGACTCATTCGGCACAAACCCCTTATCAAGCATCCTTCTGAACAACTCAAGTGCGCGCTTTCCATGGCCATTCATTGCAAGCCCACCAATCATTGCATTCCACAACACCACATCGTGGCTCTGAACTCCATCAAAGACCCACCATGACTCATTCATGCACCCACACTTGCAATACATATCGACAAGCGCTGTCTCAAGCATGACATTCCCTGGCCTCCCTCCAAGCCCCTCTGCTTTGAGAAACCTATGAACCCACCGCCCCCTCTCAAGAGCGCCCAGATGCGCGCAAGCCTTGAGCACGCTCACCAGCACCACGGCGTCTGGCCTGAACCCATTTCCCTTCATCTGATCAAACACTCTCAGTGCTTCACTGAACTCCCCGGCACGGACGCAAGCGTCGATCATTGCGCTCCAGGAAACCAGGCCCCTATCGGGCATTCTGACGAACACCTCCCGCGCGGCCTCCAGGTTCCCGCACTTGCCGTACCCAGACACCATCGTGTTCCAGGAGACAGCGTCCAGAGCGGTGGGGCCGCTCGTGTCGAACACCCTGCGCGCGTCGGGGAGCATGCCGAGCGCGCAGTAGAGCTTGAGGAGGCAGTTGGTGACGACGGGGTGTGCGAGCGCGCCGCACTTGAGCGCCTGCGCGTGCGCAAGCCCCGCGGCAGCGAGTCGATCGCAGACGTCAGCGGAGAGGGTGGGGGAGCGGGAGGAGGAGGCGGCGGCGAGGGAGGCGAGGAGGAGGGAGAAGGTGTAGGGGGTCGGCAAGGTCGCGGCACGGATGCGGGAAAAGAGCGCGAGCGCGGCGGCCGCGGGTGCGCCGCGGCGCGATAGCGCGGCGTGGAGTGGGCACCCGCGGCTAGGAGCCGAGGAGAAGCCAGCGGCGGCGGTGGCAGCGCCGGTGGAGGTGGAGCGGAGCCCAACGAGTGCGCGGAGGAAGCAGAGGTGGCGGCGGTGGGCGGGCATGGGAAACGGGCGGACAAGCTACTGCGCGCGTTAGGATTTGTGCCGAAAACTCATTCGATTTTGCAAGTTAAAAGGCCCTGTTTCGAACACGGGGATTTTTTCTACGTTTTTCCTATAAAAATAAACTGATTTCTATAAAATTCATGCACAATTCCTTTGAAATTCCTGCGTTCCCTCTAAGGCCCGGCCCTGAGGTTCAGAGGGTAATTCCCCAATAACATCACAAAATCATTCGAGGCATAATCATTCCTACGATCTCATAGTCAACCAACGAATAGTATTTTTCTCTCACACCAAACCAGCGAACAATACTTTCAGTCATGGCTTATAAGCCAAACCAGCCCAAATGAACAGGGCGAATACCAGCAGGCTTATATTTTTTTTTATTCATCATGATCTAATGTTCCGTTTCAGTAATGTCAAGCTGTATGGTAATTTCAGATTTATGCATGAGACATTTATGATCTAATGTTCCGCTTCAGTAATGTGAAGCATTTTTCTTTGATGACTTTGCCTCTCAAAAATCTCGACCCTCCAGTATCAAACATGATTCTTTTGGAACTGTGTTCATCGTCAAACATCAGGTAATGTAAATGTTACAGTTTATACCCATCAATCTGAGGTATCATTGGGTTCAAGGATAACAATTGTGGTATATGCTACAGACCTACTACTCAACAACTACAATTACTACTGTATATAACTAATTGAACATGAAAATTTGTTGCCTGCCCAAGTCCAGAAGAGATCGGAGAGAAACAAATAGGACAAGAATAGAAAAACATGGCTTTCAGCTCGGTACCAAACGATGATCAGATTCCACACAATGCCCTGGCTTCTTGGTTGTAGAATCAGTGATTGCTCAATCAAATAAGGCTCTGCCACACAGTTTCTCTGCACTGACCCAAAATGGGGCGATATTATCCTCACTTAGTCACACTTTATGTTCCTGTAGATCCTCCTCACAAACAATGTAGATCCAAGATATCCGACGGCACCTAGAAAAAGCACCAAGCAGTATTAAACTAACAATACCATGGTTTGTCTACCACAAGATTGCAGAAGAGCTTACCGCATAGTGTTCCTAAACCTAGGCAGAACATTAGAGTGTAGCCGAAGTAGAAGCTTGTCTGGAAGAATCCTGACATCTTGGTCTTCATGTGGTAATAATATATGGAGTAGAGGTAAACATACACAGCAGTGGAAGCAGCAGAGAAGAATGAAGTCCATTGCCAGTGGTAGTTCTCCGCATTTAGCAAGAAATATGTTCCGACAATTGTTACACATATGGTGACAATTATGAGGATTAGAAAGACCAGCAACATGAACCCGTAAACATAGTAGACCTGTCAGTGGTTGATGAAAAAAGAAGAGGCATCAATGTCAACTCCAATGCCTCCTTAGTAATGAAGCTTAGAGATGGGGGGAGAAACAGGCTTGTCTTCCATACCTTATAGTTCCAGAAGGATGTGAAGACAAAGTACATCTCAATAAAGATACTACCAAAAGGAAGCAGTCCTCCCATAAGTGCAATGACAGATGGTGTGAGGTACCATTTCTTCTCAGGAATAGGTCGAGGAATAGTCTTTACCCTACAGGGATTGTTTGGGGCGCCACTCCAGTTTCTACCAACAACAGTTCCCAGAAGGGCAAGAGGGAAAGAGATGAAGGCCCACAGGATGAAAACAACCACCATCGTACCAAATGGTATGGCAGCTAATGATCCATAGAAAATAGCAATAGTGTTAAGCACTAGGCCAATTCCAAAGCACATAAATGGGAAAAGTGATGCTGTCATGGCCATCACCTTGATCCAGTTTTTCCCTGCTCCCACAAAAGGATTTAAAACAAGTGAGCACCTTATAGAACTATAGGTACACAGTTCAATTTTACATGATAAATAAGCCCATACCTCCATGCCGTGAGTATAGTGCACCACTGACATATCCAGAGATGAATGAAGTAAGAGCATAGCAAACAATGAATGTTGTGACAATAGCTCCTCGCCTGGCAGAATAAGTACACATAGTGAGTGACATTTTGAGTAGCATAACAAAGTACAGTTATCCTTCAAGAAAGCAAAGTAGAACTAGAATGCTTTGTTTTTGCAGTTGCATGTGATTCCTACCCTACATACACAAACTCCAAGAATCAAATGTTTCTTGATGCATTGCCTTCAAACATTACATCACTAGGATGAGGCAACACAAACTATAGTGTTAAAAAGTACTAGTTTCAGAAAAAATAAATTGTATGTTTTATGTTTATAATATCAAATGTATTTGACTTTTGGCATGCAAAGTATCATAAAACAAGAGTCAGTCAGGCAGCTCCATTAAAATGCAGGTTTTACCAATTACTACAAGTGGCTTGTAAAGAGAATGATGTTTTATGAAGCAACAAAATAAATTCACATACCCAATGTACAGCATTCCAATGATTGCCAACAAAATCACTAGTAGAATCTGTGCTGCCAACTGTGTACCAATACCAACAAGAGCTGAAAGAAGAACTAGATTGCAAGGAGGCCGGAAAACATCACCATGTACAAGCTTCCATCCAGATTCTTCATTGACATCTCGTTCCTAATACAAGCTAATGTATATCAGCAAAGGATACAAGAGGTAAAAATAATTAAAAATTAGAACCTGCATAAACACTAAAACACTACTGGAATAACACTATATGAATATCATCTATATAGAAACTCACCAGAGTTTCAATATCATCATCATCACGGGCATACTTTGCATAATCATTTCTTAGAGTCCGCATCAGTATCATTGACACTAGTCCAGTGAGAAAGATAACCATCATGAAAGAATTGAAAATTGAGAACCAGTGAATCTGCAATTACAAGAAATAACTAGAAATTAAGAAGGTATGCTTCAGATCCTTTAAACATGTATGACACAGTTAACGGGAAGCAACTAGAGTGAAGTTTTGTATTGTAATTATGAGCCAAGCTGCAAAGATTTCCTTAATTGCAAAAATATATACCTATATTACCTGGTGTTCAAAGAAAGGATAGTCCAGATACACATCAAAGCGGTGAGCAAATGTAATGTTTGTTGGTTCCCATTTGACAGAATATGTCATGTCCAATGCCTTGTTCACATCAATAAGCTTTGGGCTTTCTTGAGTAAGATTAACATGGATAATCTGCATGGAATGGAAGTAGCAAGGATGATAAGCTATACTAATGGCTATGTGAGGTGATATAAGCTTGTGATACACAAACCTGATTGCCGTTGTATCTGATGACGATATTCTTGTGGGTGAATAGGAAATATTTGTTATCATTGTTTCTGTCTGCCTCTCCAACAAAACCTGAAGATTTGAAAAAGGTAAGCCTCGAGAAGGTCTTACAGAGAGCACATACAGAAAAGAATAAGGAGTATATACATACCCCACAAAGGCAAATCATCTTGATTGTAGCACAATAGCAGGGGGGGCAGCGCATCCAGAAAAAGAAATCGTAAGTCAGTACATCAAGTGTATAGTGCATACAGATTTAGTTGTTACTAAAATGGCGAGCAGGCACACGAGTTAATCAAAAGAGGAAACAGATAACTCACCAATGAAAAATTCAAACCAATATGAGTTCTCAATCGCATCTGACAATTGCTTAGCCTTGACAAGATCCAGGTCAAGCGAACAAATTGTGGCCTTATCAACATTCTCTGAGACAAAGCATGACCAAATTTTAGTCATCGAACTCATCACATCTACCTTACCCCTTCAATGTTAAAGTACTGAAGCAGGACAAAAGCAAGGATCACTTACTTCTGAACTTTATGTCGATCTGGCTGTCAATGAGTTCATTCCCACCAAGGACCTCGCCAAGTCCTCCCCACTTATTCACGTGGTTTTCTGACGCATGGCAAAATGGGAGGTTGTAGTAGTTGTATGTCTCATGGGGATTGTTGTACGGACCAACCTTGTTCACCCAGAGCGTCACAGGCTCCTCTGCTTGGTACTAAAATAAACAAACAGCAGCAGAAAGCAATCGTAAGAATGAGAAAGATTAGACAACTTGTAGGCAAAACATAAAAAATCCTCTGTCTAGCGATGGGCACAAAATTCACCTAACTTACACAATGGAGGCAAAAGCAAGGCATTGCAGACCAACTAGACTACATATCACAAGCAATAGGCACCTGAACTGAATGCAGCAAAGAAAAATTAGTCATAGAAGATGCACTTCGATCAGTCTAACGTCAAAAGATTACTAATCGACACAATGGCCTGAATGCCTCCACACTGCTGTTTCTCCCCACCCATTTCACTCCTAGCCGCAATTGGCCAGTAATACGAGTAAGATCTAGCAACCGCCCGACAACTCCGATCCAGCGCGCACTACGCAGAGATCCCGCTGGCCCGGGCCGGCGCCACGCAGATCTGGCCCCAAGCGAGCGCGGATCTAGCGGCGCGCGGAGTGTAGCGCGCGAGCTGAGCCAACCGCTGCCGCTGGGAGGAACGACACCAGGGGGACCTGGTTTTCCGACCCCATGTAGTGTGCTCGTTTCGACGGAGCGAGGATGGGGGGCAAGTCGTCGGGTACCTTGTGGTCAGAGTCGGAGGCGGCGGCGAAGGGTAGGAGGACGAGGAGGGTGATGGCGGCGGACGCAGCGCCGGCGGCGGAGGCCATTGGCGGATGGAATGGCCGGCCGGCGCGGAGCGGTGGTCGTCTCTCTGTTTTTCTCCCTGTGTTTGTGTGTGTGTGCGACGGGGGGGTGGGGCGGCGGACTGCTGCATGGAAGGCAGCGGAAGCCCCAGGTTTTTTTAGGAAAGGTGCAACACGCTGAGCAGACTGCAGGCTGCAAGGAGACCGTCAGATCTTTTTTTTTACTTTTATTTATTTCATTTTATTGCTTATCTATATCTATATTTCTATATCTATATCTACCTTATATTTTCAAACCCCACTAGCAATTTATCTTGCCATACAAAATATCCATAACATACCACTATAGAACATGTAACTATCTCTACATACA